ATGATAAATTATATAAAAACTGTCCGAATGTTCTTTTTTTCCAATAGTTTGTTGCATGTATGTATTTACATATTTTTTTTCATTTTCAAAACACGGTCAAGATATTGTGTCCATGTTCATAGTTGATATTATTAAGTGTTGTTTTTTTTGTTTTTACTAATAAGGCTTCCCTTATTTTTAGCCTTGTTTGCATGTAGATGATGCTATTTTATTTGTGTTGTCTTGACCCTGTTTTGAAAAATGAAAACATTATATAAATACATGCAACAAACTATTTCTTATTTAACAGTTAAAATATTCCATCCTTGAAAATGGCTAAATGTATAGCCGAAAGCACTCGGAATAAAAGAACATTCGGGCAGTTTTTACATAATTTATCATCTGAAAAGAAAAAAATTATTAGATCGCATGAGAAATTGTATAAAAAACTAAATCAAAGCACGTTGTCTGTCGTATTCAATGAAATGTGCATAAAAGAAGGATTGCTGCCTAAATTTGCCTACACAAATATATATATATATATATATATATATATATATATATATATATATATATTCATGAATTATTCACACAAAACAAATGCAAACGTTAATGATTTAATTGGCGAGAAATCCATCATCGCAAACAATCCAAATAATATACAAAAACCTCGGAATCCGTTATGAATGAAAAGATCCTTGTTTCTATAAACTTCTGCCGTATCAGTTCTTATTTTTACTACAAGCTTTCGTCTGTTCCTACAGACATCTTCAGGTATGGAATAGATGTTGTTCTTGTTTTTTCTCTTAGTAATAAGAGGACAACGAAAATATATGTATTGTTGTATCCGAAAATGCTATTGGAAATGAGTTATTGTTTTTGGAGCGCGCAAATATTAAAAAACAAGAACAACATCTATTTTATAATTCCAATTTTCTGATAACGGTAAAGATGTGGGGATTAGTCCGAATGTAAATAATGTAAATAGTGATAACTCCTTATTCCAGAAATTTAGATAGAAATATTGTATTTAAAAGGTACATTTTCCGTATTTTCTATCTGTATTGTTTCTCTTTTTGCAGCCTGGTCGAATTTTCAATACGTGGGTAGGAGATCCGTCCAAAGTTATACTTCTGGAAGAAGTGGTTAAAGTTATTGAGGAACAAAACTTACTGAAACAAGTCAGTGACACGGGAAAATACTTGCTTTCGTCACTGGAAGAAGCGCAGGTAATCCATATATTCTCAACATCATACTTATTATAAAACCCAGGTTGTGTGTGTGCGTGTGTGTCTGTACGTTTATATATTGGATCGGATTTCCTACATTTTTCAACCGATTTCAACAAAACTTCACACAACTACGTAAAATTACCTTGCGGTGGTTCTGACAGCACCAAAAATTGGAAAAAACACAATTGTTTTTGCACGAAATCAATTTGAAAACACGATTAAGAGGCATCGCTGTCGAGAATGAAAGGGGGACAACTCATATCGAGTTATACTTATTATAAAACCCAGGTTGTTTTTTTTTTTTTTGTGTGTGTGTGTGTGTGTGTGTGTGTGTGTGTGTGTGTGTGTGTGTGTGTGTGTGTGTGTTCGTTTATATATTCGATTGGATTTCCTACATTTTTCAACCAGTTTCAACAAAACTTCACTTTTTTTTGGCAGGTAGTGTTTCTTATTGTCTTGCACACGTTTTTCTTTATTTTTACATTCAGAATGCTTTAAAATTTCCATTTACAAGACAATTGTTTATAATAAAATTCTATTCAATCAGTAGACTTATAATAATTGAAAACGATGTTTTTGTTTGAGTTTGTGTTTGACCAATTCGTAAAAAAAAAAAAAAAAAACTAATTAAGACATGCGTGTCCGTCAACCTTAAACAATAATCTTTGTCAATTTTATTTTTCAGTCTTTATGATGGTCGATACTTGATCTATCTCTTACTGTTACATCCCCGGGCAATGCCGGGCTCTACTGCTAGTATAATATAAAAGAAAGATTTTACAAATGTAAGAATATAGTTAAAAACTGATCAATTGATTAGTGATTGGTTGCATGGTTCGTTGTTTTAATGTGTGACTTATATGTATTACATTAACTACTAGTTGAAAAATAAAGAAAACATTTATTTTTTTAATAGAATGGAAGGAACCAAGACTGTTTCGTGCACAAAGATAATTGGCAAATATGCTGAGGTCACCTGTTTGGAGATTGGATGAAAGTAGTCTACAGTCGGTCTTGCTCTTTTTCGTTTAGTACATTTTATAAATGATGGACGAAGCAGCTACGGCCGCATCACGTTGAAACATCGGTTCCCGTACCATCACTGAAGTTAAGCATTGTTGATTCTGGTCAGTACCTAGATGGATGACCTCTTGGAAATACCAGGTGCTTTAAGCGGGTGATGTAACAGATAATAGCTCGGAGAGTCGAGTTCCAACCCCGGTTGGGATCGTTATATTCACTTACGCACAAATACCCTCGGGAAAGGTATGAATATACCCCCTCTATCTATGTATCACGAAACTATTATTCACATCTTAATTGATGTTGTTCCCAAGTCTACCTGTTATGGGCAAATAGTGACCCCCCGCAACAACAAAAAATAAACATACATTTTTATAGTAAAATTACCAACCAAACATTTTATGATCTACAAAATATATATTTAAAAAACATACCTTTACACTGAAAGTATAAAATTATGTACTAAATATCTAAATTTCGGCATTAAATAACCCATAGCGGTTGATATGCCGCTAATTAAACAACCAACATGAAAGAACTCTTTCATGACATGAGTCCATATGATATCCCAAGTTTCTTAAAGAAATCAAACTGTATTCCAAAATATAAAAAACTACAACATAAAACACACATATCACCGCCTCTAGTAATTATGTCTGTACATGCACAAAAGCTGGGTATCATCTACCATGTATTCAATTGCGAAAGCAGAATAACATGTATCATATTTTTATTACTTCAAAGATCCCAAGAAAATTAAATTTCAGCATTAAATGACCCATGAAGGAGTTGATATGCCGTTAAACAAACAAATCAATCAACAAAGCAGCCTGTATTAACATAAGCAGCATTTACGGTCATGACTCTCCACAGTTTTCTTTTCTTCATTATCTATGAATTCCCATAGTGGAAGATAGTGGAATTGTTTCTCGTTACTTGCTCCAGTGTTTTGAATTCAGAATTGTCCTTCTAGACTAGCTGCTACCCAAGGCTAGAGAGTCCTATTTGTTCTGCTATTTAGCCCACAGTTGGGAGGGGAGAAGAAATGGATTCATACCTTTCACAAAGATATTTGGGTAAAAGTGAATGCAACAGACTAAACAAGGATTGAACACGGTTTGACGATTCCGCATTCTGTGCCCATAAGTGTCACACTACCAGCACACTCACCTCTACATCTTACAGACTTTGAAATATAAAAACCATGATTAATATATACCGAACAGTAGTAATTACAAGTCTCCACTATGGTCATGAATCCTGAGCTACCTACCCGAACTATATTCGCCAGTTTCATGTCTCCCATAAGCAGTGCCTTCGTATAATCTGTGTTTGTAATCTAGAAGATTATCTAGTTTTGGTACCGCCACTGATTCGCTAAAAATTTAGCATACCATGATGAAAGAATGCACCAAACTTAATAAAAACAAAGTTTTATCGTCAAAATGTTTATGTTATTATTAAGAGAAAAGAACAAAGGATTTTTTGTTTATTAAATTATATTTTTTTGTTCCTTTTTAGAACGTTCGAAATTTTGGTTTGGTTTGGTTTGTTTTACGGCATATCAGCCTTAATACCGACAATTTTTATTGCTGGTAATATTTTTTCCTTCAAAAATGTATTGCCGGAAATATTTTTTCTTCAAAAAATGTATAGCTGATAATATTTTTTTTCAAAAATGTATTGCTAATAATATTTTTTTCTTCAAAAATTTATTGCTGATAATAATTTTTTTTTTTTTTTACAAAGTATTTCTGGTATTAAAACCTATTTTTACACTTTCATAGTGTTTTGGCTCCAGTTTAGGGGTTAACTATTTGCCACTAGTTGTGACCTTAACAGGTGCTACCACCTCGGGTCACGGTGGACCTGGGAACACCAGCAATTAAGAGATGGTTCCACGCTCCTCAAAACTTCCTGATCAGAGGCCTTGCTGTCGGATGTAGTTTATCGTCTTACCCAGGACGCGAATGTAGTTTATCGTCTTACCCAGGACGCCGAAATTTTGGTCAAATATCTTGTTTCTTTTGCGTCAGCGGAGGGAAATATAGTATAGGAAATTTTAGCGGGTTTTTTTTTTCGGTGTAAAACACATTGATTTGGAAATTCTTGAAAAAAAACAAATAATTGTCGAATTTTGATTAAACTTTCAGGACTTATTCACAAATTAATTAAAAAATTATTTTATATGTTTTTAAATAAAAATTCTTGATAAAATAATTTTATTAGTAGCTAAAATGACATTTTAAAGCAATCACATCTTTGTAGGCTTGTCATAGTTGTGCGCATGAAAATCCTGGTTCACGAAATGTGAGAAGGACCTCGGTTGAGGTACAAAAATGAACTTAAGCAAAAAACTTTTATTGAGATCTCTCTGCTGTCCTTTGATTGTCAAGTGAATGAGTATATGTATAAAAAACATTACAACTTTTGAGAGGTCTTTGCATTGAATAGCTACGTATTAGAAAGCAGAACACGGAACACCGCGCTAACATTCCTACAGCCTTGTCCTATATGTGGAATGTTGCGTGGGTATCAAGTTGCCCTTATCAAAGGCACAATAAAAAGAAAAGCATCAAAGGCGGAACGTACTTTTGAATCTGTATTCGTCGAAAAAAGACGGGAGAGTCCATTCATCACAAATAGGGCGCACGCACACACACACGTACACGTACACACACACACACATATATATATATATATATATATATATATATATATATATATATATATATATATATATATATATATATATATATATATATATATATATATATATATATATATATATATATATATATATATATATATATATATATATATATATATTATATATATATATATATATATATTATGGCGGTGTAATGGTTATCAACCTTGTCTCGCTAGAACAATTATGACTGTGTAGTGAGTTCGATCCTCACTGGGTGCAACGGCCTTGTGCCACATCGAAGTAGCGCTTAGAAAATCACTGTAATGTTTAGCAAGCTTGGCTCGCTAGAACAAGACCGAGTAGTGAGTTCGATCCTCACTGGGTACCCCCTAATTTCGGCCTTGTGCCACATCTAAGCTACGCTTGGAAAATCACTGTAATGGTTAGCAAGCTTGTTTCGCTAGAACTATTACGACTGAGTAGTGAGTTCGATCCTCACTGGGTACCCCATACTTTCGGCCTTGTGCCACATCTGAGCTAAAAATCACTGTAATGGTTAGCAAGCTTGTTTCGCTAGAACTATTACGACCGAGTAGTGAGTTCGATCCTCACTGGGTACCCCATACTTTCGGCCTTGTGCCACATCTGAGCTACGCTTGGAAAATCACTACATATATATATATTATGAAAATTAATGACAAAGTGTTTTATCCTTTAGGATTGCATTTTTTTTTTTTTACATATTTTTTATCACTTTTGTTATTAAGTATCCCACTTTGTGAAAGAAGAAGATTAGCCAAGAAAGAGGAAATATTGTAAGAAGCTGGACGCAAAATTACTGTATTAAGGATACTTAGGTGTGCGTGATGGAGTAGCTAATCTTAATCCCAAAAGAGGATTTTGCGAACTGTTTCAAAAATGAAATGGACATTGGGATGGGATCCTTTAGGGATTATTTTGAAGGGGACAAAGGCCTCATTTCTCAAGTTAATCTATTTTTTCCGTTAATTTTATACGGCAAATGTGCAAATATCTTGACGACGATCTGGGAATTGTAAAACTGACATCAAAAAGTATTGATTTTTCAGGTAAAATTTCAAGGCCTAGTAAGCAGAGCCCGGGGCATTGGGACCTTTGTAGCCATCGATTTCAAAGATGCCAATGCCAGAGATCATTTCATTAAGATTGCACGGAACAAAGGTGAGTAATCAAAAATAAATTGGTCTTAACCGAACTTTCAACTCTTTGAAATACAACATAAATTCTATAAGAAAACATGTTTTATAGCCATATGTTTCAGAAAGTGATTAATTATGCATCAAAACTAATCTGTACACACTTGTCTATGATATATTGTGTATTATATATATATATATATATATATATATATATATATATATAGAGAGAGAGAGAGAGAAAAGATTATATATTATATTTATCAGTTTGACCGTTATTTTTTAGTGGATACTCATATTTGAGTAGATGCTCCGTTTATTTTTTTGAACAATATATTTATTTGAATAAATATAAAAATACATTGTTTAAAAAATAAACGGAGCGTCTACTCAAATATGGATATCCACTATATATATATATATATATATATATATATATATATATATATATATATATTTGAATAAAAGACAGACCACGTTAAGATTCCATGTAATAAGCGATTTCACCATAACCCCTTTAACAGGGTTCTGGATCATCAGACTTTACTTCCAAAAGCTGAAATGAAGAATGAAATGAAGAGTGAAAAGACAATTCACAGGTTTTTTTTACGGAACTCATCAAGTATACGCAAAGTTAACGAAGTGGGGAAGTGAGGTGGGAGAGAGGATGTGAGTGTGTCATATGTATCATTTTAGTTTTCTATTTTAAACTCAATGTGTGTCGGCTGGATGTTGCTCTAATCTAACTCGTCTCGTCTCTAGATAAAGGTGGTTAATGGGCGGGCGATAACGGCTACATTGAGGAAGACGCGTTATAATAGCCCCAATAAATTATCCGACAGGTTTCATTCAAATTCCTAGACGCTGTCAGTTCGCGTTACTTTAACGTGCATATTTGGGAGGTTAAGGTTTGATAAGTATCTCAAAAAACATCGACTATACAACCATCACCAATCCTTCAAAAAAAAAATTAAAAAAAAACAAACAGCACTATCAAATCATTATTGGTCTTTATTGGAGAGTGGCCTAACACCACAAATAAAGTGGAGAATAATATCAAGAGCCACAACTCCCCAAAACTTCAGAGACAGATGCAACTTATGTTTGAAGGAGAAAATCTTCATAATCAAACATAAAGATCCGGACATACTGCTAAATAAACATAATGAACTAATATTTAAATGCCGACACAAGAACAACCTAAACCTAAGTAAGTACACTAAGGAATAATCATATAGGAACAGCAATTTTGAATGTTTTGTATTCGCTTTGTTTTTAGAAATATTACTATGCACAAGTGGACACTAACACATGACTGTATATATACAACCATGATAATATATTTGCACACTGAGACACCTGTTGATATGTACATGTATATGTTTTTATACGGAAAAAGAAAAATACTTGTTTTTTTTGTTTTGTTTTTTTTGTTTTTTTTTTTGAGTGTGGAGATGTACAATTAGTTAGGTACTTATATATTTTGCCATAAATAGGAAAGATCGGATAATATTATATGTGTAAAGACATAGATAATATAATTAAATACTGAGATAGTCTTCGAACGCAGGCATAAGTAGTTGCACAGATGGACATGAGAATAGGGAAAAATACGTAGGTAGAGAGATATATATAAGTGCAAATTAACGTATGTGGGTAGATAGAGGTCTGTAGATTGTGTATGCATGTGTGTGTGTCCGTATACACATGTGTGTGCGTATGCATATATGGGTGTGGGTATGTATGTGGATGTGTAGATATATATATATATATATGTGCGTACGAGTATATATGGGTATGCAGATGTCCTTGTGTGTGGATATATATGTATATGTAAGTATAAGTATACATGGAGACAAGTATGGAGACATGTGGATGTGCGTTCTTTCTGCAGGAGTATATGTGTAAAGATGGAAATATACAGATATCGTTTCGTGGGAATGTGTGTGTAGGTGTATATAGGAACTCATAGACATATAAGACGATATAGGTATGTGGTTACAAATAGGGGGTTGAGACATATGTAGATAAGAAAATATAAAAGAAGGGCCTAAAAACAACCACGAGTTTACTTAATGAACAAAAATCAAAAACAATCACAGGTTAACTTAATGAACAAAAATCAAACGAATAAATGTCAACCTAACAAGCTATAAGCTTTATTGGATTACTCTTTCAATGTTCTACCTATAGATCTTTCCAATCGACTGCCTCATAGGAAATACCCGAAACTCCACCGAATTTCAAATTAATCTCTTCGTAGATTGTTTTTAAAATTTTTAAAATTGAGATACTTATCAAACCTTAACCTCCCAAATATGCACGTTAAAGTAACGTGAACTGACAGCGTCTAGGAATTTGAATGAAACCTGTCGGATAATTTATTGGGGCTATTATAACGCGTCTTCCTCAATGTAGCCGTTATCGCCCGCCCATTAACCACCTTTATCTAGAGACGAGACGTGTTAGATTAGAGCAACATCCAGCCGACACACATTGAGGTTAAAATAGAAAACTAAAATGATACATATGACACACTCACATCCTCTCTCCCACCTCACTTCCCCACTTCGTTAACTTTGCGTATACTTGATGAGTTCCGTAAAAAAACCTGTGAATTGTCTTTTCACTCTTCATTTCATTCTTCATTTCAGCTTTTGGAAGTAAAGTCTGATGATCCAGAACCCTGTTAAAGGGGTTATGGTGAAATCGCTTATTACATGGAATCTTAACGTGGTCTGTCTTTTATTCAAACATATCTGCTCTGAATCTTACATTGAGCTCTCTGGATATCATCCTCCTCAGGTCTACCCATACGGATTACCTAAATTTGAATAAACTATATATATATATATATATATATATTACTTTAAACGTTATTTTTAGTGGGCATCCTTTTCGTCTCCCGGTCTGAATCCGAGTTCAAGAAATCTTAGTAAAGAAAAATTTGTACTCTCCGGCAGTTTATTATTATTATTTTAAACACTATTTATTTCATCTGCCGACCTACTCAATAGAGAAAACTTCATAAAGAAAATATATTCTCCGTCAGGATTTGAACCTGCATCCCCCTTTGCAGGAGGAACCATCATCTGATCTAGTGTCTACTCAAATACGGTATTCACACAAAATGGCTGATTAAAAATATAGAATTCATTTATTCTTGAGAAATATATGTATTTGTGTATGTGTGTGTGGGTGTGTGGGTGTGTGTGTGTGTGTGTAGAGAGAGAGAGAGAGTGAGAGAGAGAGAGAGAGGAATATAATAGGGACATAGATAAATTACATGATGTCTGTCAGATTTACACCTCAAGGGATCTTCAGACCATGTGTCACAACTCCTTTTGCGAGATCTATATAGGTCACTGTGCCGGGTAGTGAAAAAACGGTCTTCTCAGAAATATTTGAATAAAGTAATCAATTTAAAATCATAACTAAAATAAGTAAACAAAAGATCGTGACTGTAAATAACCCAAAGCCTTTAACCAAAACAAAAGAACTAGGTCAGACATAGTTGCCAAATTTAAACAGATTTCATATATAATTTATTGGAGTCATTTAAGTCTTGCTCGGGAACTTGCCGATACCAAGTAGTATTTAATCTCTAGTTTTTGCTAAAAAATGCGTTCAAAAATTCTCCACATACATAATATATTGCGTAATTAATATTTGTTACTAGATGTTGTCTATTTTATTGAAGATATTAGTATTATAAATAGATGCTGTCTGTTCTGTAAGTATTATTACATTATTATAATAATATATGCTCTATATCAGAATTTATTATTCCAGTCAATATCTTTACAATGAAGTCGCCATTAACTAACCGATGTTGCATTAGTTCTTATTTTTACTACAAGCTTTCGTCTGTTCCTACAGACATCTTCAGGTATGCAACAGAAATTTATAAAAACAAGGATCTTTTCATTCATAACAGGTTCGGGTTTTTTTTGTATATTATTTGAATTGTTTGCGACGATGGATTTCTCATGCCAATTAAATCATTAACTTTTGTTTTGTTTTTGTATGAATAATTCATGAATTTGTAAATATATATATATATATATATATATATATATATACCATATATATATTATATATATATATATATATATATATATATATATATATATAAAAAAATCCAGTTAGGCAGTAATTGGCTCTACCATTTCTTATGGCATCGAGCACTTTTTTTGCCAGTAAGCAGCTTTTGGGCTGACTCTTTTTAGAGCTGCTCATCCTTTTCTAATATATATATATATATATATATATATATATATATATATATACCTTATATATAATAACATAATGGACTATTCCATACTATAATAAAATAAATGCGCCTCAAGAGGAAGCAGAGAGTTCAGTCTGAAGTCTGGAGTGAGGTCTGTCAGTCAGTCAGAGCGAGCGAGTCAGTCAGTTGAGTCAGAGGCAGTCCGAAACAGAGTCGCGTTCAGACAATTACTACTAAACCTGGTTGTAATATATATTGTAATTCCTGTTTGTAACATATCTGTGTTATTCCATATCCGTATTCGAGTTCTTCTTTATTGGTTCTACCTTGGACTATCACCGTGGTACAAGGAACCGGACCATAACAATATATATATATATATATATATATATATATAGTGCGAGGTGGGTGAGAGAGAGGAAGAGAGGAAAAAAAGCCCAAAGAGGAAAAAGAAGGAAAAGGAATAGAGAGAGAGAGAGTGTGTGTGTGTAAGGAGACAAGAAAAGGACGAAGAGGAGAAATAACCACGACATTCAAGACATACGCACATACACATACATACACATGTACGCGCACACTTACAAAGAGGAAAGAAAATCAACCTAATGTCATTTATGTTGTGGTAATGCTGGTCGTGTTTAGGCGGATAAAACGTGCCTCCTGATAGGTATTTTCCCACAACAAAAATTGCGGACTCGATTATGAGATCGGGTAAAAATGTTAAAGTAACAACAAAACTATATATATATATATATATATATATATATATATATATATATATATATATATATATATATATATATATATATATAAACGACAATGTATGTATTAACAAAATGTATACATAGTCAATAGAAGATTGTTGCGTGTGACAAAACAATGAATATGAAAAGAAAACATTTAAACTAGAGAATGTGTTTGTGTAGAAGTCTTGGAGAAAAGTAAATGAAAGTGAAGTAAAAAGTGTTCGCGCGTCTGCATGCGTGTGTGTGCTTGTGTGCGTTTTCTCCGCGTGAGACCCACATCTCAACGTCCCTGAGAAAATAGGAAAGAGAATTGCCGATAATGTCACTGTTTATTTAAGCGAAACGAACGCACGTAGTTGTAGACATCTGTGGTAAACGAGAGTTGGGTTAATAATTGCCAGCATTATGGGAACTTTGTGCTTGTGTTTGAGTGCGGTGTGTGTGACACTTAGACGAAAATTGGTGTGTAGTTAGAGATATATGTTTTCTAATAGTTGTATAAATTTGGTTTTAATTTATCTCTAACTATGTGTAAATTGTGTTTTTTCCACTTCAGTTACATCAAACTTAGAAAGATTATGAAAAATTGGAAAAACTCTGGAGTCGAGATATTAGAGCGATTTTAATAAATTTTGATGATTGGTTATTTGGTTAAATTTTGTGAAGTGGGTCATGTTGAAAGATTTTCGACACCCCCCTCATAGCTAGCTAGCTAGCTAGCTAGATAGATAGATATGAACAGAGTAAGATAGATAGATAGATAGATAGATAGATAGATAGATAGATAGATAGATAGATAATGAACAGAGTGAGATTGATAGATATGAACAGAATGATACACATATAAACAGAGTGAGATCGATACTGTATAATGATATACTAAATTTAGTATATAGTATTTTTGTATAAGTTGTTTTATATACATACAGAAACATACAATTATTATTAAATGCGAATTATATTAATGTATCTCTGTAAATTATATAAAATAATGCATATTAATAATATATTATAGATGTATAACACATATATATATAAATTGAAATAAATTCTGTACATTAGGTTGGATTAATAAATCTATAGTCTGACATAGTTATTAGCTCAATTGTGATCTGAAATTTCCACTGTATATTATTCGACCCATTTACCATTGAATTAAGTGCATTGGAGATAATATTGAAAAGAATTCATTGTGGAAAATAAATGTTTTTTTTTTAAATTATTATTAGACTACAGCCTTATTGATGTACCTACGTATGCACTGCATCCAATTGTATGCAACTCTGTGTGTGTTCGAATTATATAAATTAAATTTTGATTTCTTTTTTCACAGGAATCAACGTAGGTGGATCAGGGGTGCAGACTTTACGTTTCCGACCGGCCCTTATTTTAGAGAAGAAACACGTCGACATTTTTATGGACGTCTTTTATTCAATTTTAAACGATATGCATTATTAGCAGCACCGTCACTGACTGATACATGTAAAATATAACTGCCACCAACTCACCTAGAAATGTCGAATGATTACAATACAAAAAAATATATATTTTTAGTCTGATGGCTTTGTCCTGTTAGTTAAAAGAATAGTCGCGTCTTTATTTTTCCTATCTGTATTTTCAGGCGACTAGCATTGGAATTATCATCATTGGATGGCAATAGACAAGTTGGGAGTATCGAAGCAACACTACCGAGATACCTCGGTGCGGTTGATCGAAGTCCCTCACTGTGTTTTGTGGTGTCTTTATTTAGATGTTATTTTTTTAATTTTAATAATCAACAAAATATTGTAAATATTGCTGAAAATATAAACAAAATTAAAATTAATTAAATTAAAAATAATTTTTAATTTAAATTTGAACTTACAAAAATTAAAATTAATTAAATTATTATATATCATTATATAAATTATTATTAATTTTAAGTTAAATTTAAAATGAAATTAAAAATTGATTTTGATTCAATTAATTTAATTCAATTTTAATTTAATTAATTTTTTTATTTAATTATAATTTAATTAATTCTATTTGATTTTTAATTTATTTTAATTTTTGTTTACATTTTCGACAACATTTAAATTTTAATTAAATTTAATGAAATTAATTTAATTAAATTTAAAAAAAGTCAGCTTATTATATTGTTTTACTGCACGATACATCTAAAGTAAGTTGTTATAACTTGATATTTTTCATTCAATTTTGATAAAACGGTTTAAATTATAATAATGGTTTCTTTGTGGAAAATATATAATCTTCAGGCGAAACAAGTAAAAAAATAATCTTTATTATCTCTAAAATTATTTCTAATTCTGAAAATGTGCCAAAAATTCAATTCGTCTGACATAAACGAATTCAAATCATGTAATTCTGATATAAAAATTGTCGAAAGGAGATCTTGAACCCATTTTCTTTCATCTCTTTTTATTCTGCTTATTATCACCTCAGTCATTTTCAATACTACGTGCTAACTTAGACATGAAATTATTATTTTCTTCCTCAAAGTATAAAAATATAAGCATTTTAATATTACAAACTCAACCCTCCACAAAGAAAGATATGTTAAGAAAGAAGGACAGAAAGAAAAACAAAACATTCCATTCATAAAAAAATTCAGTTAAACAGCAAGTGAGTAAAATCTAATTTGACGCACTAACGAAATACATTATTCCAAAATCTTCTCTCCGTAAAGAAAGAGATAAGTGTATAAGAAAGAAAGAAAGAAAGAAAGAAAGAAAGAAAGAAAGAAAGGCAGACAGAGTGAAAGAAAGAAAAAACTATATAAGAAAAGAAAGAAAAAAGACGATAACATCAAACAAAAATATTCCATTCATAACTCAAACAGTTAAACAAGGGTGGAGAAAATCTAATTTGAAGCGCATTCGTGCGACGTTTGAACTTTTAAAACAATTTGAAATCCTTCATAGTTTTCAAAATGAGTGCAAGCGATAATAATATATTTATCATTTATTTTTATTTTTAATATTTAGATTTCAATAAGGTGTTTACTAATTTTTGAATATAAACTTTAAATATCTGCATCAATTTTCATTTTTAAGTACATGACAATCAAAATGTTTCAGACATCTTTGTCTTATTTACGACAGTTTTTTCGTCTGATGTTAACTCCCCAAAGGTTTATGAATTCGGCTTGGCATCGTTTTCAGGAACTCAACTTCTCGAGTGTGAATATGATAACGAAGTACATCAATCAACCAGCTGTTCACAATAAATGGATGTATAAAAGTAAAATTATTTGTAAAACTATAATCGAATAAAAATATATGAATTTAAATTATTGTTTGTTTTGTGTATCTGTAGGGATGCAAAAGTTGATTATCTCCCTTTGATCGAGATGATGTCACGTGAGTTGCGTAACGGCCGTTTAGTGACGTCACTTTATAGAGTGACGAAAGTGGTCAGTCCTTCAGGTGTCAAACCGAGCAGAGTCAAATCGATTTAGCCTCCATCTGCCTTTCACAGCCAGCTTCTACGCGATAAAGCTTACACGCGCATGGCATCGTTTCCCTTTAGGAATATATCTTCCCCAGAAATAGAAAGAAACTATATCCAGCTCTCAGCAAAAACCCATGACTCTCTGTTTCCTGTTTACGGAATAATGACCTCGCAAGTGATAGATAAACCCGGGTCGCTTTAATCTGGAATTCAAAATATGGCTTCTCCAAAAACACAAAAGAATCCACCGCAGTTCCACACTTCCGATTGGAAATTATATCAAGTAAGGTCCTATTTATCCCATTTCACTCTGCTTGTTGTTGCATAGTTATAGTTTCTCTGCTTGGGACCAATGTAAACGTATATACAATTACTGTGTATGACTTAACGGTATAAAAGTTTCTGAAAATAAAGCAGGTTTGTAATCCCTTTTCTTTCAGCTATTCCGTTCATAAAATAAAGTGTTATTATACCATTGATATAATAATGCTTATAATGGGAGAAATAAAAACCGGAGAATATGCCTTTCTTCCATAGTACACGTCCATAGATCGTGTTTTCTGAATTTGTTTCGATAGAATAATAATTATGTGAACTAGTTTTAATCTGTGAAAATTTCATAGTTTTCCTATTTTGATATTCTGATGAATCTTAATTCTTAAATTAATAACTGAATAAGGTCATGGCAAGTTCTACGGCAATAAAATATTCGTAGAAGTTCTCCTATAGGACCGTTAAATATTTAAGCTTATCAACTTTAACAAATTATTGCAATAACAATCATAAATATGAATGTTGGTCGTAATTTTAAGAAGTGGGTACAAATGAAAAGATTTGAAATTTAAGAAAAGTTTTTCCATTTTTACTGAAACAGCCGTTAAAACACTTCTATCTTTCTTTCTTTCATTTTCTCACTGAAACCAAGTAGTGTCTTTTTCCCTCTTTCAACGCGATCAAAACTGAATAGTCCATTATTTATGAGATATTGGAAGGAGACGTTACACACTTCTATCTTTTCTTTCTTACCTTCATTTTTTTTTCAATGAATCCAAGTAGTGTCTTTTCTCCTCTTTCCACACGATAAAAACGGTCCATTATTTATGAGGTATTGATAGGGCGTAACGGTCGTGAGAACTAATGAAGGGATGGACAAGTACAATTATAATAGAATGATTGAAAATACTGCGGATATTTTTTTTTAAATTGTCAGCTTTGCTTCATGACCAGCCATGAAGAAACCAATAGGAAAAAGAGTTCGCTATTAGTGACTATTTCAAAACAGAGAGATTCCTTTGTTCCTTTAAATTGATATTTTGATAGCTGAAAAATTTGTTAGTTATTTACCAAAATTAATTTTAGTTCAGTACCAAAATCGGACGGCAGTATACAAGGAGGATTAAACTGAGTTACACGGTCAAAATTGTCAGCGAAACGAACTGGTTTGCAAATTACCTTGAGCTCTCTTTTCCTAATTCTGATTATAAGCGTTCTATCTCTTGAATTTTCCTTTAAGGTTTCCTCGTTCTTTGCTCGCTCCGTCCATGAAATTCTCAGTATCCTTCTGTAGAACCACATTTGCCTCCAGTTTTCTCCTCATCTGTAAGGAAACTGTCCAGTATTCACTGCCATATAAGACAGTGGACACTCTTTTCTTTTTTTCAGCAGCTTGCTTCTTTTGCTAGTCTAATGCGTGTTCTGATTCAAGTGTCGTATTTTCCATTCACTGTTAAAATACTTCTCAGATATTTAAACTTCTGTATTTGCTTGTTTGTTTTGTGTATCTGTAGGGATACAAAAGTTGATTATCTCCCTTTGATCGAGATGATGTCACGTGTTGACATCTCCAATTTGTAACTAGCATCTTGGGTTTTTTTTTATCTTGCTGATAACCATAATTTCTGCCTGCTTGTAGTTGACAGTGTTATAATAAGGTTTTGGTTACGAAAGGAAAGTAATAAAGAGGTTTGTGTTTTTGAACAACGGGTATTTGTTTAATATATAAGGTGTCTTACAGAGTTGTTTAATATATAAGGTGTCTTACAGGAAAATTGGTGAAATATCGATTTCGGTTACTGATTGCCAGAATGGTGATTAGGTGTAAGGGTAGCGTCGGGAATTGACCGATTTCTTGGGTTGGCTTGACCGAGGTCACCGGATACAGTCGATGGTTGGTTCTGACGCACGTGTTGGTCGATCGAGGTCACGGTCGTGAGTCGATACATGGTAAGGTGCGTTGGTTGCTGAGGTGATGAGGGATTGGTGTAGCTGGTAGGGCTATGGTAGTTCGAGTGAGTTGCATGCTTCCGGAGTCGGAGTCGCTTGATTGCGGAGTCATTTGTTTGCGAAGTCGGAGTCGCTGGTATGCGGAGTCTTGTTTGCCGAGGTGACGGCGTTGGCGACGACGAATGCTTGTAGCTGGGTGGTGTTGACGTTGAAATGATATTCAGCTAGTTTAGTCAAGTCTGGGAGCGGTAACAATTGAGTTAATAGGGGCGGTTATGGCGGCAGCAGCAACAGCAGCAGCGACGCCCTGCCTATCGGTCGATGGCCTGACGGCCCGGAACGGCTTAAGGTCATTATGGGTAGCTTGCTTTTAAGCAGATCTGGCTGTTCCCAGGGTCGTCATCTTTACTGGCGGATACGTTTACGATTGGTCAGTGACGCTTTCATTGCGGGAGCTCGCTTCATGGACCGGATGCGATGTTCGAAGCCTATGCGCAGAAAATGACTTTTTTATGCAGAATTAAACATAAAGAGATTTAATTGCATCGAAGTGTAACAATAGTTAGTCCTTTTTTAAACTTAAAATAAAAGGGAAGCTTAATTTACATAGAAAATATATTACTTGAGACGTTATTATAGTAGCCGTTTCGTATTTTTATTTATTAAACAGTGTGTATATCCGAGTAACACCAAACCTCTGTTGGGAACAAACAGAAAACGATTAGAGTGTAAACGCAAAATCGACAGAGGAGTAAGACAAGGATGTGTTTTCTCATTGAATCTAT